TTAATGTAAGGCTAAGGTGAAAGGTAGGATAAATTTTAGAAAAAGTGGGAATAAAGCCATGCTTAAGGGAGCCAAATCCTAACAAATAAAACCAAGCTCAAAAATAAATAATGACCAAATCATCTCCAACACAACTCAACTCCACCAAAATTCACCAAACAACCAATCCAATCATATCACAAATTTTCCAACACTTACAACTTCACTTGTACAAATTTGATATTATAGAACTGGAGTTAACAAACAAACTTTGAACTCTTTTTTTCAACTTGAATTTTTCTTTGAAACTTATTTTTTTCTTTTCTTTCTTTTGAGCAACCTTCAATTAAAACACTTGAGCTTTGACAATTTTTTTCTTTGCTCTTTTTTTTTCTTCCTTTTAAAGTTCGCTTTTTTTTTTTTTTCACTTTTAATTTTCAACTTTCAAACTCATCAAAAATAATCCACAATCAAGAACAAAACAACTTCTCAAAACCCACCCACATTGTGCAATAATAGAGCACACTACAAACTGAAGGTTTTATGTATTCGTCAAGTGCAATTACTAGATATATAAATGGATCAAATTATGGAGATAATTAAGTTCGTTCATTTGGGTCGTCGTTTTATCATATCTAGAGGTACTTACGATCTTTGGACTAGTAAAATAGGTCAAAGCCCAATTGAATGGATGCTATAAGGTCACACATAGGGGCTAGATTGAGCATAAGAAGAAGAGGCCCATGATGGGCCTTCTCCCTTTAGGTGGCTGGCTATGTGTGTAGTATTGTAGGGTTTGGGCTTTGCTTCCTAGTCTAATTACAATATGACTATAAATAGACTAGGTGCCTAGGGTTGAATGTAACATTTAGAGATCAATTAACAATTAACTTGATAAAACCTTAATTTGAAAACAGGAAACCAACCTTTCTCAAACTCCCTCTCTTTCTCTCATATCTGTACTCCTCCTTACGCTGGTGGTGGTGGTGGTTCGTGGTGGTGGCCGATTATACGCAAAGGTGATAATTGTGGTGCATTCCTCCTTTATCCGACTAATATAACATTGGTGGACGGCTCGTTCGAATCCCGTGGACTAAGTAAATGAGCAACGCTTAGGACTCTATTCTCTCCCTAATTGATAGTCAATTGCAACGTGGAAATCACGCCTCCAAGGTATGAATTATATGATTCTTTATGTGTTATCTTGTAGATCCTGTTTAGATGCAAACGAATATCATTCGTGAAATTCTGCAATATAGTACCTAAATCCCTATTGTGGTACTCTCTCCGTCCCATAATACATGAAACATTGGACTTTTTTCACCATTCATGATTAGCTTTTGACCATAATTTCTTACTAACATAATAAAAACATATTTTATCATAAAATATATTGTTATATAGGTATTCATATAAAGTTTCATAATATAATTTTTAAAATAATTTCATTAATATTTAATTATATAAAAATAAAGTCAAACTAGTGCATTGACATGTGTGCAATGTTGACCGTGTCATGTATTATAAGACAGAGGGAGTATCAGTTAGCCTCTTGCATTTACGCATATTGATCACAATAATTTGATTATTTTGATGTCCATATTAATTTTAATTAAATTTAGAAGGAGAATTCTAATTATGATTTAGTCTTTGTTTTTAAATGGAGATTTAAAGTTTGGAATTTGTTTAAATGTGATTTATATTGCTCAATTATTCCTAGTAAAATCTGAATCAAACCCTAGCTGAATAATTAAACCCTAAAAGCCCTAATTAATATTCAAAAATTTGATGCATTATGAATGCTAATGATTTTCGAATTTTAAGTATTTAATTTATATAATGTGATCTAATTTAATTATTCGTGCATAAAAGTGTTGTGTAATTAATTAATTCATGTAAAATGGTTTGATGTGAATTGTGGATTAAATTGTATGAAAAGTCCCAATTTAATAAAATAGAGATTTTAGATTAATTTTTGAAGTGGACATAAAAGAGTTTATAGTTAATTTTATTAGATCACCAAATTAATTTTGCAAAAGTTGTGAAATTGATTTAACTTAAAATAAAAATTAAGGTTTGAGTGGGAGCAGCCACGACTGGGTGGCAGAGCCACCTGTCGATGGGCCACGGTGGCTACTCTGGTGGTCGAGTGGGCGGGCAGAAAGGACAGTCGTTTGAGAAGGGTAGTGGCTGAAACGTGCAAGGCTGCACGATTCAGTTATTGCCCAAGTTGTTTTGCGTGATTAAGCACTCCGCTTAGCTGAGCAGTTGGCCATGGCTGCGGCTGGGCTCCGGTCTGGCTGCGGCAAGAGTTGCGTTGTGGCTAGGTTGGTTGCTCAGGCACGAAGGTAGCAGGCCTAGAGTTTAGGGGAGGGGTGGTGGCTGGACGGAGCAAGCGTTGCATGTCCTAGCTGCTGTCGTGCTGGCTGCGTGGCTGACCTTGTGGCCTGGCTGCGGTGGTAGGCTGTTGTGGTGGTTGGATTGTGAGTCTGGTTGTGGTAGTGGCAGTGACGTGGATGGGCAACAGCTTAGTCATGGTTTCCCCAGTTTTTTCAATAAAAATAAATCTTATTTTTTTTAATTTTAGATAGAATAAATTTAAGATTTTATCTAAAATAATTTTAAATTTGAAATTGGTTTTAATCTTTGAAATATTTAGGATAATTGAGCAAGATTCCAAAAGATAAGGATTGACTTGATAATGTGATTATCCATAATTAGTTTGGTAATTGATTAAAATTATTTGAATGGCTAATAATTCGGAAAAAATATTCTAAGTTTGTTAGAATAATCTTTAAAGATAAATATGCTTTATCTTTTAAGATTAAAATAAGATTTGATTCTATCTCATGCTTAATTTAAAATATATGATATTTTATTAATGGTCATGAATACTATATGATATTATCTAATTACATGATAAAATATGAGATATTTTAGGAATTTGTTGCCTTGTTTATGAACATTCAATGTTGTAATTTAGGCAAGCATGTTTACGTGATTTTATTATGTGGCAATTTTATAATATATGATATTATGTTGCTATATAATGACTAGTACTAGTATGGCCCAGTAGATTACTAAACACGATCTGCGCATCGTGATGTATTTTGGTAATCTAAGTACGGTCTGCATACCGTTATGTATTTTTTGTAATTTTATTTATTTTATTTAAGAAGTAAATAGAATAGACTAGGATTACTGATTGCAGTTAATCCAAGGAGCCCATGAAGTGAAGACCCAAAGGAAAAAGGTTCAAGTGGGAGCATTTTCTTTATTAGTTTTCTTAAGATTAGGGGCCATACTATGTCTTTGTTTATTTATGCATTAGTAGATTATGCATGCCAGGTTTATTTATGTTGTTGATGATGCGCTAGAGTTCACTAAATCAATCAACAACATAATAAATCTAAGTCCCGGTAATATTGAGATTGTTTTTCCAATTAAAAACCCAACAACCCTTTGATAAATTAATGATGGTCGTGCCAAAGCTGGGTGTCATTTCTATATCTTAGGTGACTTGGGATAAATCAAGTTTTCAATTTTAATTGGTTGTGAGAGTTTAGAATCTTGAAGCAAAGGGTAATAATTAAACGTGAAATGGTTAATTATTCAACCAAGAGTTACAAGAGTTGCAATTAGTAAAGAATTTACTTACCTTGAAAATTTAGCGGTTTCTGTTCAATTATTACACAAATAAAGGATCTTGAAATCACTTAATTCAATTAGGACCATTTAATTTTGAATAAAGTGTTAAAGTTGCCTATGGTATTAATTTAGGTGCTTTAAAGATAAATATAGTTGAATTTTGCGTTTATTAAGTAAGTAATATATGTTCTAGTTTTATGATTACATTTTTTCCTCGATTGAAATAGAATTGAGAAACGTTCTCAAAAGTTTAAAAAATAAACCGTAAACCTATATCCTTATTTTGCTAAGATAGTTCTATAAGGACAAGTTTTAGAAACCCATGTCACATGTCTAAAGTTGGTTTTCTTCAACTCAAAATGTTTCAAGGGTTAAAATGAGATGGGAGGTACGAACCCTCTAAAAGACAAGAATGAAAATCCAATAAAGTCTCTTATCTTCAATGCGATTGAATATAAGAAAGTGATTGGAATCTCTATGATCTAAAATTGATCAAATGACACTATTCTTCATCCATTTCATATGGAGTTAAATTGTTGATTAATCTCTAATATGAATGATTATTGAAAAAACTTAGCAAAATTATGAAAAATGCTTAAAAAAGTAGTTACACAAAGTATTATTTTGAACCTAAGAGAAATGTTCTAAGTGGATAAAATGGGAAAGGTTTAGAATATATGAGGATTGCATTAAGAAGTTATAGGCAAAGAAATGCAAGCAAGTTGCTACTTCTCAAACCTAAAACCACTTGTGAATGACAAATGCTTTGAATTGAATGGACTAATTCCATTCGATTAGAAACTATCTCATACAGTTGGAAGGTAAAAGAATGGAAATGTTCCAGTTTAAGAAATATATTATAGAAATTGATTTGGCATATTACTACTTCTTAGACATACGATGTCATGTTTAGTTCTCTCATTGTGAATGTGGTTTAACTTAAAGAGGAAGTATGGCTAAGGGAGGAATAAATCTACAAGTTTAGAAACAAATGTTGCTACTTCACAAGTAGAATCTATTAGTCTAGAGGAAAAAGTTGCAACTTTGCAAGTAAAACATACATTTTCACCTTACCTCGTTTTTAGCTAAAATCAAATATATGTTATTTATTCTTGCTATTCATAAAACACCAATCAATGTTAGTAATGATTAAGCATTGAAGATTCAAAACATGGAGTAAATGTTATTCTATGCTTATTTGAATAAAAGTGTGATTTAAATTGCTAAATAGGATAAAAGTTTTATATATATACACAGACAAACACATACACACACACACACACACACACACACACACACACACACACACACACACACATATATATATACACTTGTTATTGGCACTGGTTATTAACCGGTGCCAAAAATGCCCAAAAAAATCATTTGTTTTTTTTTTGCTTTTTTCATCTGAATTTATCATCAACTGTTATAGATATACATAATATACTTGAAACTGATAATTTTCATTAATAACCTGTAATTTTACACTTGAAAAAAAAAATAACAGCAGCCCAATAGCAGAACAACAGCATCACAGTAGCTAAACAACAGTAGTACCGAAGCAGCAGCACTAAAGAGAATGCAACGTCCATATTAGGCAATAGAGCAACCTGAATGCAGCCTGAATTTTGTTATTTCATGCACCAATTTGATTATAGATCCATATGTAAGCTGTCAAATTTTACAAAAATATCCCACATTACTAACCAATCTTTCATAACAATAAATAAATCAACAACAAAAATAACACAAACCAAAATCAAAAGAATAAACCCAAATCACGAAAACAATTATCAAATAAAAATCGCAGATGAAAACGTTCTATAGAGTCTACAACAACAACAACAAACACAAACAAACAAACAACAAAATACCTTCTCAATACACACACTCAAAACATATTAAGAAGTCATTGACAAGCATTAAGAGAACCCCTTTTTCTACACTCAGTCAATATTCCATAGCTAGGCATAATCAATTATTCAAGAGCAGCCGTGAAAGCCATATCAACTTGCATTCTGGCATTAACAACTAGTAGAAAGCAAGAAAGATAGCATAGGACCACATAAGGCCATGCATACATTCAACACACATACATTTCAATGCAAATGTTAAAGGCAACTAAGGTATAGTCCTTGGATAAATTAGTCAGGCAAGGGATTAGTATACATACAGAAAGCAAAACTTTGATAGCCTGCCCAAAGACTCCGAAATGGCAGAGTTGGACCGCTGAAACTGTTCAAATAGAGATCCAAACTGACCAAATTTTCCAGATTGCCCAGCTCACTAGGTATTGGCCCCCTGATATTGTTACTGTACAGGTCCCTGAGAATAAAAACATACTCTAATAAGTTCATATGATTTCATAACCACAAAAAAAGCAAAGGATCAAGTACATGATAAAAGTAACATTCCAATGAACCAGAAACAATTAAATTTGTGCTTAATCCATATTATAAGCTCAAAAGAAATAATTATTTGGTTGATTTCCCATCAAACCAGGTTCAAGGATGACTCAATGTATGCAACTATATCCTTTAAAAAGTGAGAGAGAGATAGAGAGAGAGAGAGAGAGAGAGAGAGAGAGAGAGAGAGAGAGAGAGAAAGAGAGAGAGAGAGAGATACAGAGTACAAACAGCCACCTATCAGTTTATCACTCCTCTAATGAAACTAGTGCACAGAACAATTTTTATTCATGGCAGTAAAATATAAAAGCAACACAGACCTTCATTCCCTTATGTAAGTTTCAGAGGTTGAGAACGACAGATAACACCATCAGCCCCAATCTTGTCAATGGCTTCAGCAAGAATACTCCCAAACAAATTCATCATTTCCAGAAGATATTAAAGCCATAGTTGCAGGCAACAAGTGTAACTTAATATAAAAACATAGGCTTAAAGCCACACCTGCCTAATCTCGGCAGAGCAAAAGCAGCAGCTATAACAGAGCAAAAGTAGCAGTAGTAGGGGTGCACTGCAGGGAAGCAGGGCAACAGGTTCAAGCTTCAAGTCATTCGATAAAAAAACGCAAAAAAAAAAACTCCGAAAATCAATCCAAAACCCAATTTTAATTCCTTAGCTATACTTGTCAAGAAACTTAACAATTATGGTACAATAAGGCAATATAAGAAGACAAACTAGAAACAAAATATAATGAAATAATCCACCATTATCCACTACCAAATGAGATTTAATTTGCATATTCAATAAAAAAAACCCAAAACTGATCAAAATATATGCATACCACAATCAAGAAATCAATCAAAATATACCCAAAAAGATATATACCTTTTTAAATCAAATTAAATGACAACCAATACAATATTCACAATACATCCACAAATTAAACTACTAAAGTTCAAGATTCAAGTATCAAATACTCTGTATACTCACAAGTCAAATACTTCGGGTACCCATAATTCAAATTTTCCGTATATTCACAATTCCAAAAGCTCAAATTATCAAAATCCTGGATCAATCGTAATTATTGAAACAAATTAAAAAAACCCTAGATCACTCACAATAAAACTGAGTTGTGTAATCTGATTTTAAACCCCAAAACTACTATATCAACCAATTCAATCATCATCAATGCAATTTGACAAATTTCACGTTCAATCAAATACTTCGGTTCAATTCTTCCAAATCCCCAAACTTAATATTCAATAATTATTGAAATTATATCAAATTTGCATAAAAAAATAACAGCAATTTCGTAAGAAAAAACGTACCAAACCAATGACGATAAGGTTGAATACGAGAACCAGGCAATTCACTAGACTGAAATTGCTGGCTCATAATCCAATATTCACCACAGTCAAATTTCAATATGTAAATAAGAAATTTTCCACAACACAACACTTTCAAGTCTTCCATAGCATCAACACTAAGCAAATTAAAATTTAAGTTAAAACCCCCCCAAAAAAAACTATTTCATCCAATCAATAAACAATGAAAAAAAAATAGCAAATCCAGAAATTAAACAATTAAATCGAGAGTAAAGAGAAAAAGGGATACAAGGATGAGACTGAAGAGTCTCCTGGTCAACTTTGACAAAATTAGCTCCATGGACATCCCAAATTCAACTGCATGTTGAATACGAGAATCAAATATAATAAAAAAAATTAACCATCAAAAATTGAAAAATTAATTGAAATCAAAACCCTAAATTAACTTGAATTAGGGAATTGAAAAACGATTCTCGAATATACTCAGCAATTCTAGAAGTAATTCGACAAAAATATAACGCAAAGCTAAATAAATTAGAAACCCTAACCTCAAATTTCTGATTTTTTGTTCGAAATTGATTTGTATTCAGTGGCGGACCCAGGAATTTCCGACTGGTGAGTCACAATTGATAACCAAATATGTAAAAAGAAAAAATTTACCAAAATTCCCAAGAAAAATTATTTACAAAGATCATCCAAATAGAAAATTGACAAGATTACAGTACTAACTAATAATTAACAAGCTTAAAATTGACAAGACTAAAACTAACAAACTAATAATTAACAAGCTAATAATTGACAACATGACAAGCTTAGCTCTCTAATAATTAACAAACTAATAATTGACAAGATTAAAATTTGTACAAGCATTAGGTTCACATTTCATCAAAAACCCAACAACATTAACAAAAGGTTCAAAGTTAGTATTTTTTTTTAAAAAAAAAACTTAGAAAATAATTTATTTATTTATTTTTTTTAAAAAAAACTTAAAAAATATTTTGGGCCCTGGTGAGTCATTTGACCCACCAGGCATAAGGCCAAGTCCGCCAATGTTTGTATTTGTTGTTGTTGAAGAAGCACAAACATCTAATTGATTTGAAATAAACACACCCACAAACCCTAACCTCCATTATTGTTGATTTAAGAAATAGACGGCGGCGGCGACGATGGTTGTATTTGGTTCGAATTGACGCTGATTTTCTAAGGAGAAAGAGAAGAAATGGAGATATAAAGTGGGCTGGCGGTGAAAGGGGTGGTGGTGGAAGATAAAGAGTGGTGGTGGGGAAGCTAAGGAGTGGTGGTGGAGTGATAGAGGAGAGAAAGGAGGGAGAAAGGGGGAACGAGAGGAGAGAGAAAGCAGAATGACTGAGTGAGTGCGTGGTTATTAAATTGGGAAAGAATGCGTGTTTTAGAAATGTATAAAAATAACCGGTGCTCTTTGTATCAGAAGTGTAGAAAAAAAAATCAAGGGGCATCGATTAATCGATGCTATTTGAATTTTGGGCCACCTGTTTTCAAGAATCGGTGCTCATTCTTCGGTGCATATTTATGTTTTTCTACTATTGTATATATATATATATATATATATATATACAGATATATATATGAATTGTCTCTAAAATGTCAAATGGTTCAAATGAAAATGAACATTGCATAAGGAAGATGCAAAAGGATGGACTTTCAATATCATTAGATCATGGAAAATTTAACAACAATGAACCAACCTTTGCTCCATTCTCCCAAAATGGACCAACCTTTAAATCTGCCAAAAATAAACCCAAGTTTGTAATTTTTCTCCCATATTAAACGAAGCAAGTAAGTTGACCTGTTATATCAGGTTGCAAACCACGTGTCATCTCCTCAATGGTTAATTTTTTTTTTTAAAATTTTTTTTGAAAATTTAAATAAATTATTTATTTTCATTTTAAAAATTTTGTTAATAAAAAAATTCTCCCTTTCCCACCACTGCCAGCCCCTCCTCCCAACCACCACCCCCTCCCCTGCCAGTGGCCGGCGCCCAAACCAATTTCCCGGCGCCAAAAACCACCACCCTCCCCTCTCTCCCACCCATGGAAACCTAGCGTTCCTCTTTCCACATTCCCGCTACCCCCGACACCACCTCTCCCCCCTTTCCTGCAACCGAAAACGCCACAAAAGCTTAAACGAATTAAGCCATGAAACGAGCTTTTTTAAAATCGAAAACCCCCAATTCGAACTCCATGCTGTAAACACAAACTTCTCCCCATCATAAATCCCTAAAGACTCGCAATCAACATTTTAGAAACCTTCTTCTTCAACTGAAAAAACTAAGTAAATTTCAAGGCATGGAAATTCTTAGGGTGGAGAATTGAAGCACCAGCTTCGAAGGTATTGTTACCAATGGTGATCGTAGCCATACGATCTTCGACGACGGAGTTTTTCTCGAAGACATGAATGGCGGCGATTAGGGAGGGTTCCGGAGAGTATTTGCGGAGGAAGTGAGAGACTGATAGGCTAGAGATTTCGCTTCCATTGATGCAGATGGTGGCTAGAGGTGACGGAGAGGAGAAAGATTGGAAGGGAAGAAGAAGGAGGAGGAGAAAGAGGAGATATGGGAGAAGTTGTGGTGGTTTCATGGTGAGGGGACTAGGGGAGGAGGCGTTGGCAGTGGGTGGGGGTCTGAGTTTTTTTTTTTTAAATTTTTTAATTTTATTTTGTTGATTTAAAAATGATAATTAAAGGAAAATAAAAAAGTGACCGCTTGTTCAGGTCATTGGTCATTTTGGTTTACTAAGAGAGAAAAAATACAAACTTGAGTTTATTTTGGGCTGATTCAAAGGTTAACTCATTTTGGGATAACGGAGCAAAGGTTGGTTCGTTATTGTTAAATTTTCCTTAGATTATGAATCTATCGATATATGTAAATATCATTCTGATTTGAAAGTTGACAAGTCATCCTTTAGAGAAATGATGACGTGAACTCAAGGTCGAATACATATCGATGTAAGAAAACCTAAGGTTCAAAGGCTAGAGACGGAAAATGAAACTTCATTTGTGATAAGATCACTTGTGCTTAGTTGAAGCATAAGTGTGAATGTTTTAAAATGTTCAAAAGGTCCAGTATGAAGTTCAGAATCAACTTGACAAGATAATAAATATGTTACAATATGATTGTAATGATGAAAGTTTGTGTCAAGACATTTGCTTGGCAATATATTCAAAGTATTGCAATATGATCGTAATAATGAGAATTTAAGCCAAGACCTTGATGAACATCCAATAGTTGTGAAATTGTTTTGCAACAAACTCCGAAAGAAAACCTTGTGAAGTGTTTGAGAAAGGAGTTATCAATCTATATGAGATATAATTTGATAATGGATGAAATTACCTATCTTCCAACCCTTATTCAAGGGATATACTTTTAAGATGAGCTATAATACTAAACAAGCCTACATACGTCAAATCAAAATGCAACAAAGGCTTCATATGTGATATGGATAAGAAAAGGTCTTATAAAGTCTTTCTACAAAATAAGGAATAAAAGTTGTATTAAATCGTTTAATGAACGTTCAATTCCTACACAAAAAACGGGGTACTAATACACAAGTCATACTTAGCATAAAATGTTTGTTGCTCAAGTAGATGCCCTTTTGGAAAATATGTCACTTCCAAAAGGTTAAGTGGGAGTAGTGTAAATCTCGAAAGAGTTTTGAGAAAAGCAACAAACAAACATGGTTCAAACCATGATTGGTTCACCTCATGCTAATGTGCCTCTTCCAAAAGGAAAGTGAGAGTATATGAATCTCAAAAGAGTTCGAGAGCCTCGAAGGTGTGCGAGAAAAGTTAGTTCCAGAATCTTGAAGAAATTCGAGAAGTAACCGAATAAAAGCAACAATGTAAGCATGATTCACCTCATGTTATAAATGAAGACACGTGGTCTCATTAAGTATAATGGGAATAATAACCATGTGTCGAAGGTAGTACATTCCAAGTGCATACCCTCTATTGTCGTTTCTCATTGAAAATTAAACAAAGTTGTATAAGTTTCAGTTGTTGCATAAAGACCCACAATGATGACTAGCATATCTAAAACTTAGCCAAAGAAATATGATTTCACATTGACTAAGAGTTCTAAAATATTGATTCTGGAACATAATGATTATGCAAGTAACAAGGATGATTTGACGAGTCATAACTCCAAGTGGTTTGAAATCAGGATAATCTGAAATAGATTTTATGTTTGAAAACAAGTGTGTTACGCTTGATCAACTTGCTTAATTGGGTAAGACCAATTATAAGCAAAATAGATAAGGAAGAAAAATGTTTTCTAAGAAAAGAAAAGACTTGTTGTTAAGGGATTCAACTAATTCATAGTGTGACTATGATGAAACCTTTACATTAATCATGTTTCTAAAACCTATTAAAGATATTTCTAGTGATTTCTACCTTATAAGATTTGGTAGATGGATTTCATAAACGCTTTCTTGAAATCGTTCATTAAAGAAGACTTGTATGTGATACAATCAGAATGGTTTTAAAAAATCTAATAATCCTAAGGATGCATAAGAGGCCCATTTATGGATCAAAGTAAGCATCATGGAGTTAGAATCTTCAATTTAATGAGTTAATCAAATTAGTTTATGTTCTCATAAATGAAATCTTGTGTATATAGTTTGTTAAGTGGGAGCTATACAATCTTCTTGGTCTTGTACAAAGAGCGATTATTCCATGTTTGAACGGTCAAGCGATGGCTAATGCATTTTGTGTGAAAAACCTTGAAGAGAAAGATGAGTATATTTGGGAATCAAGATCTATAAAGATAGGTTTCGAAGGATGTTTGAGCTTAGTTAAGAAACTTATATTGATAAGATTCTTATGAGATTCAACATTATATTGAAAGGAGTTTCAATCCCATGTAACATGGCACAATGCTTGACAAGATTCAGTGCTTTGAGAAAGGCTGATGAAATTGAAGGTTTGAATGATGCTCCATGTGCATTTTGCAAAGGATGCATCATGCGTGTCATGGAATATACTTATCTAGCTATTTGATTCACACGTTTTAAGAACATGTGGTGATAGTTTTCAATCGAAAACCAATGTAACTTTAGAATACAGTTTAGAAATTCCTAAATTCTTTACAAAAGGATGAAGGAAGATTCTTAGTGTATGGAGATGAATATTATTATAAATTTAGAAGTTGCAAAATTCACATTTATGAGAATGTCTCATGAATTATATTAACTAAACTATTTTAATAGCTTAAAGAAACAAAAGGCTTATTTGAAAAGAAAATAATGGTGGATGGTTTTTATTGTGTAATAGGGAGTCACAATTGCAAGATCATCAGTCATGTTTCCCTATGTTTATCAATTGAAATAAAGTTTCAATCTTATTTAATTATGGTTTAGTATTAAATAAAATGTCCAAAATAATTATGAATTGTAGGGATCGTCAAATACGTGATTTGGTGAATGAAACCCCACAGGTGAACTAAATTCATAAATTATTTTAAGTTGCTAGTTCAAAATCATTAAATTGGACATAAATGATTTCAATTAATGGACTAGCATGTAAGATTGATTGATAGTGCAATTTCA